TCCTGGCCCCACTGCTGGACCTACTGAGGGCACCTGGTATTTCTGGCCACTGTGTGACACAGAGTGTTGGACTGGACGGGCCATTGGCATGATCCAACATTGGCTTCTCATGTTCTTAGGAACTCTCGGTCTGGGGCAAGGGATGCTCTGTCTTCTTGGAGCTTGGGGGGGGCAACAGTGGGAGGGCTCCTAGTGTCCTGGCCCCACTGCTGGACCTCCTGATGGTACCTCGTATTTTCAGCCACTGTGTGACACAGAGTGTTGGACTGGACGGGCCATTGGCCTGATCCAACATTGGCTTCTCTTACGTTCTTACGGTCTTACTTTGCTCTGAAGAGTAACCTTTGCTTTCCGCTTCTGTTGTAGGCAAATACCGCCCAGGCGATGAAGGCAAGATTAAGCCTCCCCCCTACTTGACCTGTGAGAGCTTCCCCCAGGCTGTAGACCACATCCTCCACCATCTCCTGTGAGGACATCTAACGAGTTTGGAACGCCACCGTCCAGCCGCCGCACCTCAAAGTGTCCGGCATCCTCATTCTTTGAGCCAAGCTTTGAGCCAAGTTCTCTGGCGTAGCTCCAGCAGGACTGTACCAGACTGGTTGTGTGTGTGGGGGTGTGTGTGTGTGATTGTATATTTGAATGCTTCCTACATAAAACAAGTCCCTGCACTTGGAAGAGCAGCATTATAAGCAAAGCGGGTTTTACCGTAGTGCCAGTCCTCTCTTTACAGGGAATGCCACATACAGGGGGATTTCGAACCTGCAGTTCCTCTGCCTGAAGTCTGCAGGGGTTTTGTCCACCATCAGACCACATATTCATGCAGTGGCTGAACACACAGTTCACACAGACGCCGCACATTTAGTGGGAAAGGAGATGAAATGGAGCCTGAATCCGAAGATGCTCCACATGTTATTTGAGACAGGGCAAGAAGGTTCTTCTCGCGCCTCCCACCTGTTTGAACCACACGGGATTGGCAGGTTTGGGGCAGTCTTCCAGAGGAGGGTAAAGAGACAGAAGTGTGCATCTTTTAACATGAGAATGAAAAGGGAACGTCTGTAGCCGGGTTCCAAGGTCTTATGCATATGGACCAAAATGCAATAAAAGGCTGAGAAAGGCACCTTTGTCTGGGCTTTCAAATTGGCGCAAGGCTCCGTGTGGCTTGGCTTTTCGAAAATGCGTTCTCGGCAGCTTTCTAGTCCCAAGGCAAAAAGGAAAGGCGGTCTCAGCTTTTCCACAGGGGGCATAAAGGAGAGCCCTGCAATCGGACCAAAGATCTCTCCAGCCAGCATCCGGTTTCTAACAGTGGCCGTCCGAAGGTTTCTTGATCAGGTCAAGAAGGCGCACCCACTGCTTCCCCCTTCCCCAAAGCAAAGAGGGTTCAGAGCTGCTCTGCCCATAACCATGGAAGTTCTACTTAGTGATCAGGGCTAATATCTATGGATAGAAGAATGAGATTCGAGTCCAGTCATACCTCAAAGGCCAACAAAATTTCCAGGGTATACGTTTCTGAGATACTGACAACAGGAGTATTTCTCAAAAGCTTGTACCCTGGAAATCTTGTTGGTCTTTAAGTTGTGCTGGATTTGAATCCTGCTCTTCTACCGCAGACCAACAAGGCCAGCCACCTGAAGCGACTGACAAAGTTACCTCCCGCGGATTTGTCCAGGTGCCTTATGAAACAAAAGAAGTTGTGGGACGTGGTAGGATCTCAAAGGCGATCAAGTGAGCTCTCCAGTTAGGAGAGCCAGTCTGGTGTAGCGGTGAGGGGCGCGGACTCTCATCTGGGAGAACCGGGTTCGATTCCCCGCTCCTCTGCGTGCAGCTGCTGGTGTGACCTTGGGTCAGTCACAAGTTCTCTCAGAGCTGTTCTCTCAAGGGCAGTCCTCAAAAGAGCTCTCTCAGCCCCACCTTCCTCACAGGGTGCCTATTGTGGGGAAGGGAGGGGGAAGGAGATTGTAAGCCACTCTGAGACTCCTTCAGGTAGTGAAGATCGGGGTATAAATCCAATCTCCTCCTCCTCCTCCTCCTGGAATAAACTGTAGTGAAATAGATGCCACTCCTCCAGAGTAACCTACCCTGACCTGGATGGCCGAGGATAGCCCCGTCTCATCAGATCTAAGGTCAGTCCTCATTCGTACTTGGATGGGAGACCACCAAGAAAGCCTAGGGTTGCTACACAGAGGCAGGCGACGGCAACCCCCTGGTGTCCTTAAGAACATAAGAGAAGCCAATGTTGGATCAGGCCAGTGGCCCATCCAGTCCAGCACTCTGTCTCACACAGTGGCCAGAAATACCAGGTGCCATCAGGAGGTCCACCAGGGGGGCCAGGACACTAGAAGCCCTCCCACTGTTGCCCCCCCCCCCAAGCACCAAGAATAGAGAGCATCCCTTGCCTCAGACTGAGAGTTCCAGTCTATACCTTGTGGCTAATAGCCACCGATGGACCTCTGCTCCATATAAGAACCTAAGAGAAGCCAATGTTGGGTCAGGCCAATGGCCCATCCAGTCCAACACTCTGTGTCACACAGTGGCCAGAAATACCAGGTGCCACCAGGAGGTCCAGCAGTGGGGCCAGGAGACTAGAAGCCCTCCCACTGTTGCCCCCCCCAACAAGCACCAAG